AGCCACTGCCCCACGGAGCCGTCGCCGGGTTATAGCTAAAGTGACCACACGTCCCGTTTTGAACGGGACTGTCCCTTTTCTCGGTCACCTGTCCCATTGTCCCCAAACAAAGCTCCGGGACACAAAATTGCCCCGTAACTCGTTGGATGGAAGTATTCAAAGTCAACAATCTTCAACATAATTTTTTTTAATCGAATATATTTTATGTCTACCTGGTACGAATGCTCCGGTAGAAAGAGTATTTTTTTTTTTATTTTGAATAAATTGTGGACGTCTGAAAGAAACACTTACGGTTCCAGAGTTCTAAAGGCGATGTTGTTAACAAAGATAACAATAAAAAAACTTGAGCAGAATTTTATTTTTATTTAAAATCATCACTAACTTTATTAAAGAAAATTTAATCCACTGACAAATGTAATTAATAATTAAGAAAAATATGTTGCATTTAATAATTACCGTCTATACCGAATATAATTTTACAGTGAACACTAATTGTATAAAGTTATAGTTTTTAGAGTATAAATAAACCCATGTCCTGTTTTGAGTTAAAAAATAAATGGTCAGTTTAGTCTTTTTAGTTAAATTTAGTTTTAAAAATTTTTAGTAGTAAAAAGTAGGTATATTAGTACCTACTTAGATACTTTTTACCGAAGTATAAGTATAGAACACCTTATGTACTCAATTATTTTTTGAAAAAGAAGAAAAAACAAGCAATAAATAATATACTATATTTTAGCAAAAAACTATAACTTAGTAATACTAATTATAACTTAGAACATAAATGAAAAACTCATAACTGACAGGGCCCGACCCAGGATTCGATCCCGGGACCTAATGATCAGCAGTCGCACTACTACAACCACTAGACCAACGAGGTAGAACTGTACATAATAAGATATTGTGGTTGGGTGATAATATTGAATTAGCCTTTTATAGTGTAAATTATAATATTTATCGAAATTTTAATTATGGATTCGAACCTTACATGCCAATGGTGCTTCATTTTTTTATTTGCATTTACTTCAAAGAAAATACACGCAAAAAGCTTCATCGCGCAGTAAAAAACACAACAAATATATGTATAACTAATACGAAAAATTATACCCAAAACAAACAAATAATACTACCTATAAATAACCTAATAAGTAATATTATTTATCGACTGATATTACGTGAGTGTATGCGGCGCTGGTCGACGCTCTAACGACACGGGCTTCGCGTCGAAGAGCTCAGGGCTCAATGACTCCAGCAAGCCCGTGAGCAGTGAATATGCCCAGATTTTAAAATAATTTCTTAATAAAATCAAATTTTGGTCTTTTGAAAAAAAATTTACTATAGAAATGTTTATTAATAAATTGTCTATCCATTGGTGTAAATCGCAAAATAAAATAATACTTACTTTACGAGGAGATCCATGTTATCAATAATAATTTCACATTTATGTGGTTTCGTTGTAAGGAGATTATATTAATATTTATTAGTTTAAAAAAAAATTGGATATAGCTTTTATGGAATCAAGATTATGTAGAAATATAATGTGTTTTTTATTTGTTGATATATCTTTTAAATAAAAAGTAGATAGCTTCTGAAAACCGCACAAATAACGACTAGCGCGACATTTTGCTCAACCTGCGCCTTAAGTCTAGTCTAAGTCCATGGAGGCACAGAATAAATAATAGTACTAACGTAATGGAGGTTCTAACCTCTATGGCTTAGTCTTTGATAGATAATATTAGTACTTTACAAACTGCGCTAGCACTAGCGGTGTGTCGTTATGAGTTTTCTAAGTAACGTAACGTTATTGATATGGTACAACGGATAACGTTATCATAACTATCTATATTCATAACTGTCTATTTTCCATGTAACGGCAACTTAACAATACCGTCATAGAATAGATTATCAAAATTATTTTCGTTTCGTGATTATAAACAGTTAAGATTTAAATACTAATTTAGTTATTGAAATGAACTCTCATTCGTACTTTTGATCTTATGACATCTTTCGAGGAATTATGGCATCCATTTTTCCTTGTTTGTGTTGAGACTTGAGACTGCGGTACAGCTGATGGCATCATGGGGGGTTGGATTTGCCTGGCTCAAAAGTTATCTTTTAAGTTATTGCTGACGCAAGGATACCCAAAGTGTTCACAGGTCTCGAATATCTAGCAATCGTTTGCTGTTCCAACGAAACTTGTGTGTGCGTTTCTATATATCGCTGCCGTAAATATGACTTCAGATTACTTGAAGTAGTCTGAAAACTAAATTAGTTTTTACAAATATTACAACGTGCTTTTCTATTTATGTACTTATTATAATTTTTTCGAAAAACTCCCACAAAACACTTGTGTTTTGTCGCGACATTGTTTGTTTATTATATTACAACCTAAAATGAAGCTATATCTATATTTACAATATCTAAATCAAATAAACATTTAGGTTTTAGGTACAAAGTTTTTTTGTTCGTTTATAGATTTCTTTTATGAACACTAATATCACAATGCGCGCTTTATGTTTCGAAATAAACTTGGAATTAAAATATAAAACAAAGTTTTTAAATAATAATACAGAGGGACACAATTAATTTGAAAACTCAAGTTCAAAGGTTGAAGGACAGAACGTCAATAATAATATTTCGTCGTAACAAGGTCAAGGCTATTAAAACAGTTTTATCCTTACATTTTGAGGAACAAGTGTTATTTCTCAATATATGGCAAAAACCCCTATTTACTGTGTAGAATTTTATAATAAACAGCACGGGGTTTAAAATTGCTTTATTAGAGACACATGGCCAATTTGAAATAGTTATGCAAGTATCTATATGAGAAAGAAAGAAATAAACTTATTTCTCGAATTCCGCTTCACTCACCTTACACATTTCAATATGGGCTCCGCTGCAGTTTCGTTCTTATCGCACACGGCATGTTTTTTATTTTGTACGGCAGCAAGCGCGTGATGTTATAATGATATCTCAAATCACGATTCTAAGCCAACGCAACGTTGCATCGTTGCGGTTCAAAGGTACTCTGTGCATTGCGGATCGTTATAAGAAATAGACAGTTATGAGCGTTATGTATAACTATATATAGGCTATAAAGTAAATAGATGTTTCTATAACTGTCTATACGTTATAATATACATGTGCCAACTCGGAAAAATAACAACTCGATTTAACTCGAGTTGAAATTCACGCAATTCGAGTTAGCAGTATGAAACAAAGTAAATGATTTGTTACAAATTACTTTTTTATAAATTTGTTTTTTTATCAAGCTCTTTGGCGGGTTGGGACAGCCATAGTTACCAAACTTATTATGTAGGATTGACATAAAAAGGTATATTTAGACAACAAAACTAGCTATGAAACGTTCTTCACGAAACAATATTAGTCTAGCTTTAGGATATAGGTACAGTCAAAATATTCTTAAATAAATTCGATTTTGTTTTCAAAATTAAAATATTTATAGAAAGTTAAGTGTTACAATTGGCGTTAATATAAAATATGGTGTATCTTACAACTGAACCACCCTTTTCGGGTATTACAATAATAGGTCTGTGACTTACATAACTACATTGATCATAAACCCTTCAAAATTATAAACTAATTAAATTACATAAATTAGCTATTATAAAATTTTAAATAACAAATTGTTTTTTTTTTTTTTAGTTAAACACTCTTTAAAACACAAACGCACACACGACAAACGAATCGCACTCTTGCTCTTTTGTTGGCTTACTTGATCCGTTTATGTACAGCAGCCCAAACTCCAGTTATAATGCTCATAGCTATATAGCTAGCACTAGGCATGGGTCATTGGCGGTTTTTTAGTTAATGTAATTTAACTGTTAATCATTAATGGTCAACAGGTTGAAAAAGCTGTTAAATAAATAAAAGGTTTTAAAACTTCAATCGTTAACGTTAATCGTCAATTTAATATTTCAACGTTTTCGATCAATTACAAATTTGTTGCAGATTAGGTTGAAGATTATTGATTTTGTAAGAATTTCGATTAAGTATTTTTATTTTTATTGAATTGGAATGACCTTTAATTCGTACTTTTTCCAGGCTTAGGACTGGCAGGGTCAAAATAGTATCCAGGCCTACATAAAAGATCATCTGTTAGTAATTATTTATTCATTATTCATCATTTTTTTTTCATTTGTTCTATTTACAATTACATATAAAATCTCATAACCTGCAAAATGGCCGTCTTTTAAGTTTACATTTAAAAATAGCAGTTAACTTAAACTTAAAAACACTCGTCCCCGACGCGTAATGCTAAATTGCTAACCATAGATAAGAGTGTATATACTGATTGCTAACAAAACAGTCCGAACGAATTTTAGCCTTGTCAGTTGTCAGACAAACTATATAGAAACACTACGCGTTGTTGTCAGTCAGCTTGTCACTCAGGGATTGTTTACACACTAAATACAAAATCATAAAAAATCAACTTTCTTTATTCGCTCAACGCGTAGTGTTTCTATACAGTTTGTGATTCGTTCGCTCAGGCTCAGCTCAGTCGCTCACGCTCACACAACAAAAACACAAGACCGTGTCGGTAACCTGCGAAAGTAACGAATATTTCCGAAGGAGACTAAATTCACAGAAATGAAGAAACACGACAAATTGAACAAGATCTTTATAAACGACAGAAGATAAAAACTTATTAAATTATAAATACCTGTCTTCACCTCACCTCAGACCACAGAAGTTAAAAAACGGACTAAGTCTGAGCAAACTACAAATCTTTTAATAATTTTTTATATTAAAATAAAACACCGTTTCGTCAAAGTATAGTAAATATTTCTTGTACTTACTTAATACTGCTAAAGTTTAGCAGCTAAACATAGTGTACTTTGTAGTATAGTAATTTTGCTAATTGTACAAATTACTTTCTATGCAGCTATTGTTATTTTTAATATGCGTAGGGTATTCACATAGTACCTACTTTTTAGCACAAATCATAAAGTTGTACTTTTTAGTTTTTAGTGTTCTGTGATATGCGTCGCCGTGATGATAAGTTTCCTAAAAATGGATTTGAAGCTTGGGGTGGTTATATGCAGGCAAAAATTGCTAAATTAGAAGACCAATTCTCTACTAAAGCTGAAAAAGATGTAAGCAAATTGTCTAACATATTTGATGGTGTATCAATTTTTGTAAATGGTTTTACAAAACCTTCCGCAGATGAACTAAAAGAACTTATTCCTCAGCATGGTGGTGTTTATCACACTTATCAAAGAAGTAATGATTTTATTATTGCTTCTAATTTGCCTGACACAAAAGTTAAAAATATGTCAACTGCTAAAGTAGTAAGACCTGAATGGATTACGGATAGTATTGCTGCAAAACAATTGTTGGATTACAGGCAATATTTGCTCTACAAAAATTCAAGAACACAGCCTCAATTGAATTTTAATAAAAAAATAAAAACTGAGTGTGTTAAGTGTGATACTACACAAAATGGAGGTATGCTTAAAGATGCGATTTCATACGCAAAAGAAATTAACCATAACATAATTAATGAACATACTTTTAAAGAAACTAGTGAAGATTTAGACATGTGTAATGTTTCCACATTAAATCTGAAATTACCTGTTTTAGAAATTGAATCTAAAAAAACTCATTTGGTTGCTAAAACTGCTGTTGATCCTAATTTTATATCTGAATTTTATAACAATTCAAGACTTCATCATATTTCACAACTTGGAGCTTTTTTTAAACAACATGTTAATGATTTAAGAGAAAATAATGACTTTACGTTCCCTGCTCGTGATGTTCTTAAAAAGAATATACAGGCCTTAAATAATGTTCAGCAGGTAGAACCAGATTTCGATAGTGGGAAGGTAATAATGCACATAGATATGGACTGCTTTTTTGTATCTGTTGGTATACGTAAAAGACCGGACCTCCTTGGGAAACCAGTTGCAGTCACCCATTCTAAAGGTACACAAGGTCACCCAAAAAGAGCAGGGGTAGACAGAGCTACCGAATTTAACCTTTATAAGCAAAAACAGGCTTATAAATTGGGTAAAGCTACAGGCATTCTAGTGGAAGATATTGAAATCAAAAGTAGGGTAGAACTTATTGCTGATGAAGATGATGAATATGGTTCAATGAGTGAAATAGCATCATGTTCATATGAAGCCAGAGCCAAAGGTATCACAAATGGAATGTTTATGGGAACTGCTCTAAGATTGTGTCCTAATTTACAAACAATACCCTATGATTTTGAGGGGTATAAGGAAGTTGCATGCACATTATATAATACAATTGCACAGTACACTCTGGACATAGAGGCTGTTTCTTGCGATGAGATGTATGTTGATTGCACTGACTTGTTAAATGACTTAAAAGTAAGTGTTCAAGATTTTGCTACAGTATTAAGGCAAGAAATAAAAAATAAAACTGGATGTCCATGTTCAACTGGATTTGGAGGTAATCGTTTACAGTCAAGACTAGCAACAAAACGGGCTAAGCCAAATGGTCAGTTTTTCCTGACTTCTGAATTAGTTGAAGAGTTTGTGTTTAATGTTCATCTTAAAGATTTACCTGGTGTTGGAAGGCAGACAGCACAAAAATTAGAATCTCTAGGCCACCAAACTTGTGGATCATTACAAACACTAACTTTAGGTTTATTGCAACGGCATTTGGGCAATAAAACTGGAGCCCAACTTTTCAATCAATGTCGTGGGCGGGACTCCAACCCACTAACATTTCATACTGTCCGGAAATCAGTGTCTGCTGAGGTAAATTATGGGATAAGATTTGAAAATAATGCACAATGTTATGAGTTCTTAAAGCAATTATCAGCTGAAGTACATTCCAGAATGAAGCAATTAAAAGTGCTGGGAAAGTGTATAACACTAAAGTTAATGGTAAGAGATGAGAAGGCTCCTATAGAAACAGCTAAATTTATGGGGCATGGGTTCTGTAATGTAATTAATAAGTCAAGTTCATTATCTAATTCAACTAATGACATTGAAATAATAACAAAAGAGGTTATTTCCCTTTGCAAAAAGCAAAAGATAGATCCAAAAGAAATGAGGGGTGTTGGTATTCAGGTAACAAAGTTAGAACCCCTTACCACTAAGCTTACAAAAGGAGGAATAAGTAAATTTTTAAATAAAAATGTTACACAACACAATAACTTCAATAGTAAAATCATATCGGATGAGAATGGTGCAACACTTGACATAAATCAAATTAAATTTGAAGATGGAAGGGAATCTAAGTTACCAATTACTCCAAAAAAAGGAAATGAAGTTTTATCACCAATTAAAAAATGCCCAAAATTCAGCTTACTAAAATCTTCACCTGGGAAAAAGAGAGGAAGACCTCCAAAGAATGCAAAGAGCAGTCTATCAACATCAAAAAATATTATGGATAAGTTTATTTATGGCCAAAACCAAGTAATTGAGGAAATACGGTATAAAAATGAAAACAAAGACCAAATATTATGCAATAATAAAAAAAATATAAATGATGAATCAAGCCAACAAGGTTTATCAGGTCTTCCATGGGAAAAAGTTAGGGAATTGTTAAGAGCATGGTTGGATAGTGGGCAAAGCCCAAAATTTTGTGATACTAAGATGATAGCTGGTTATTTAAGCAAATTAGTTATTAATAAGGATATAGACAAGGTTTATATTTTAGTAAATTATTTAAATAGAAGGACTAATGAACTCAACAATAGTATTTGGACAGAAGTATATGAATATGTCTTAGAAGAAGTACAAAGCTCTATGGTTGCTGTTTATGGGAAAAAACTGTGGATTAATGATTGATTGTATTAATAAAATAAAATAAAATATTATTCACTCATTTATTCCAAATTGTTTCTATTAAAATAATGAATATCCACAATAATTAGGTACATTATTAATTTATTTTCTATTATATGGTATTGGTGTTATTGCATCATCAGGAAAATTACCATTTTAAATTTTATTTGCTAAAATCTAAATAATTGATACACTAAGTATATTCATTTTTCCATATAGAGCCAACATTTCATAATTTGGCAAGCAAAAAATTTATAATAGCTACTAGTAAGGATTAGACATGTTACAAAATACTTGAAAAACCGAAATTTAACATAAAATGTTACATTAAATTGGAAAGCTGTCGAAATTGAGACCAATAGATTTCTTATGGAACAGTCATTGCTGTGTATATATTTTTTATTTTTTTAGTGTGGTTTATTATTGTTTAAATTACTTAGTTATATTAAAAATTTGTAAAATGGCAGTAAGTATCACCTTATTTTCAATTTATTTGTTCATAAGCATTGGTAAGATTTTACTTTTGTAAGTTGTACTCACATAGGTACTTGCAAAACAAAAATTCAATACTAGTCGCAATAAATGATCTTGGTTATAGCATTCCATCCCACTATAATTTATTATCACAGATTTTATAGCAAATTAAACATACTTGTTTAATTTTTTATGAAAATAAATGAATTTTAAATGGGAATCATTGTTCTTCAATAATTATTATCGACGAAAATAACTTTGTCAGAATATACATAAAAACGTTAAAGAATATGTACTTAAGATAAGCTTTCAGCTTGTAACTTAAATATAAAGTGTTTTGTGACAACCATTTTATTTCTACAACAATAATTGTGATACTATATGGACAAAACTGACAAACCGAAATTCTTTCCCTAGAAAAATTATTATGTTAAAAAATACAAAAAACTTGTTAATTACAACATTGAATTCAACTTAACAACACAACATAAATTTAAAAACGATTTTGAATTCAAACGCTAATCAAAATTAGGTTGTATTTGTATATTTTTAAACTAACAACTCAAATGTGTAGCCCATATTGGCTATGGTCAACTATGTTTTATTTTGTTCTATTTTTTATACTTAATAATATTGAAAATTCTGTTAATGATGGATCTCATGCGGTCGAACTGACAGAGATAGAATGTTTCAGCTTTGAGTCTATAATTATCTCGTCGCCAGATCTTATATTGTAGGAGTACAGCTGCTTTGTTGGGTATTTCATCTCCTCAGGGCCCTGAAAACTCCAGAAATTAATGATATAGTTAATTTACTTCACCTATATAATTAGTTAATGCTTTAAAATATATGGAACAAAAAAAACGATAAAAGTACGTAGACTATAAATTAAGAACTATATTTAATCGATAGTGTGGTGAGCTAACTCTCACACTTATTGTATCTAACAGTTGGCTAAGTCCTATTTGCTACCCTTACTTCCTTTTACACATGCAACGTTTTTAAAAAAAGAAAAGAAAGAAGAAGCATCCCATATTTCCATAGGCAAGCCGGCAGAACCATCTCTATAAATAACTATTTAGAAAAAAATTACATAGGTATTTCGATTATATAATAACAAACAGATGAAGATGAATTTAGTAAACCCATAGTCCGATCCTTTAAAAACCATACATAGCCCACCAAGGAGAGAGAATAGGGCCAAGTGTAACTGCGGGTGGTAGAAGTACTAAAACTAATTTAGTATAATTTCAGCGACATCTCTAACACTAAAATGCTTAGCCGTCCGTACAGTTGTAGGTATTTATAAGATTCACAAAAAAAAAGGTTTGAAAAGATTTCATCGTAGAATGGGAGAACTTTGCTGTTCTCTTCATAAAGGTATATATACAATGCCCTTGTGTTCACGGCAAAGGATTTCATCTCAACTTATAGGGTGTGGTGGCGGCGTAAGATAATCCACTACCCCTATACCGTGAGTTTAGTAAAGAGGGACAGAGGGAAACTTAAACAGTAGATGGGCAGTAGCATCTTTATGATAACATCTCAAAGTAATAATATACTGCGGTTGGCAACCCGCCGGCACAATATTTGTGGGGGCCTATGTTCAGCAGTGGACCTTTGATAGGCTGTGATGATCATGGTGATGAATGATGACAGAGTATTTCAAGTCTCCTACATACCTACATTTAAAATTAGTCATTCTTACAATGAGTTAAGAAAATTCATCATACGAACACGAAATGGCGTCCTGCGCGTATTGTAAGAAGCGAACGCGGGAAATATAAATAACTTTATGGCTATCGATAGATGGTCGGATGGATTATATATTGCTGCAGCTATGTTAATAGTATAGTTGTAGCAAGAATGGATCGGCTCGACCGGGGAAGGACCACGCTCTCACAGAATACCAACGTAAAATAGCAACCTAACACTGCTGTGTTTCGTATGGTGAGTGTAGAGAACCGGGAGACCCTTTTTACTGGAAAAGAGGCATTCCATCTTAGTCGTCACGGATGACAAAGTAAATGTAGATATCTATGGGTCACAGTAACCACTTACCATCAGGTGGAATGTGTGATCGTTTGTCACCCTATCCTATAAAAAAAATGTCATTTGACTTTAAGGTTTAAATTACATTCCTATTCTATAGTTTTCTATTAGTGTTAACGATTATAATAGACAGTCCACTTCGGTTAATCCAGTAGATTTTTGCAAATAAACCACTAGGGAGCTAATCCACCTGACCACCTTCAATGAGTAGTAATTCCGGCAATTCTCCTCACATTTAGGAGGGTTGATATACACAGTTCTTTAAATGCTGATTAGGTACGATTCTCCTAATGCTCAATTCAAAACTTAGAAATATGTAAATAATAATAATTTATATTAGAACACACCTGCGTATCTCTTAGCTCTTGATCGACGTAGAATAACCTCATCTTTGAGGCTGGGAATCCAGCGAGCCGTTCCAAACGTGTTTTCAAGTCTGATACAGTTCTGTAATGAAAACCAATTCAGAATAAATACTATCTACTTACACACCTACCTCATACTAAGCATTTTTAATGTCACAGCACAGCTGGATATAGTCCATAATGGTTATCCAAAAATGCCAGCCTCTATGCATCGCTTGGATTTGCCCATTTCAGGGTTTGTAAGGACAGAGTTGATACTCTCGGACTTGTAACACTGGTTCCTATCTTCATTAAATGTATTTTTCATTAATAGGTTTCGTAACCGATCTTAGGCTCGTCTTGGAAGCTTAGATTGGAATTAGCACGAGATATTTAATGATCTTGATAAAAAAAAGGATATAGGGTTTTATGGCAAGACCGTATAGTCTGTAACCTACCTCTATAAACTCTAAAACTTACTAAATACTAAAAACTCCAATTGACAACTCGTATGCCAAACGAGGTAACTGTGGCAAACAAATATGGTAATCTGTCTTGACTTTTAATGGGCTCTAATGAATGAAATGTAAGTCATACTTATATCCAGAGTTTATAGATTACATTTGAACGCTTTCTTCATTACAGACATTCTTGCCATATATCATAAATACAGATGAGAATTAGCATCCAGTTTCGTTCTAGGGGCGGCTAATGGACATGCCAGAGCGATCTAATGGCTTCAATTCAGTATTACGGTATAACCACAACTACTATTATTTATTCTGTGTCACAACGTTAATGCCAAATTACCCTTCTCCTATATATCCTATAAACCTCCAACGAGTAGCAGCGTCGATGCAAGACGTTAAGTGCTGCGATTGCTAAGAAGCTGCAAGAGCCGCATAGGCTAACAACACATACATCACAGAAATAGATACATTGGAGTTTTGGCGGGAACTTGACCGGCGGCGGTTTGTTGCTCCTGTATTATTGTTTAAATAATGGTTTGAAGTGGACTTTGATATGTAAAAGTGGTGCGATTTTGTTTATTAACTGTCTACGCATGTCAACTATTAGTGGAAACGGTGAAACAAGTGCTCTGATGGTGATGGATTCTCAAGATAAGCTGTTTGTCTGCATAGGCGCCTTTAGATACCATCGCCAACTGTCAGCTGTCTGCTGGCTCAAGTTGCCGTCAAAATCTCCCAAGGGCTGATTGTGACGCATCAACATATTGTGAAGCAGTGAACTATGAAGGATAATTATACATTTGGGGAAATTATAATGAACCGAATAAAAATACTCAAGACTTGGCCTAAATGTGTAGATACCAGGCCATAAACTCCAAAAAAAAAATTGATACATTTAAGGAGACATGTTCATTAGTAAAGAGTACTTTTTGACGGTCGATACAGAAAAAGAGATGATATAATAAAAAATATACGACATAAATATATATTTAAATATATATTATACAACCAAAGCGTGGATCTTTAGTTACGCTTTAGTTGTATTATGTATGACATACGAATGGGTCAACTCGACCGAAAACAAAAAGACTACGTTCTCACAGAATTCTATCGTAAATTAGCAGACTTTTCTGGTGTGTTTTGGATGGCGAGTGACAAGAACTGGACCCCTTTACTGTAAATAAGGCACTCTTTCTCAGTACCAACTGTGTGACTATGCAATTAATCGAGGATAGTATTTGTGTCGTAGTATTACGCGCTTACATACAAAATTATTCTTAATTGAAGATAGTATCTGTGACTATGGGTCCCAACTTTCATTTACCACTAGACTGACTTTATGCTTGTTTGTCGCCCTGATTTGTTCTATAAATGTGCTGCAGACCTCAAAACCCACCTGTAAACGTCGACAGTGCGCACCTCGCTCGTTTCACCACAGGTGAATGTGATCTGGACGCGCTTCTCCGGCCTCAGGTCAACAGACACAAGAGGATCCAGTTTGCCATGAACTCCTACCAGCTCCCAGTACCTGCAAAAGGAACGTAATACGCATTAGAAAAATAAAAGGTTCTCAGATAATATTTTGTAGTCATAAACGTCAACAGACAAACAACTAAGGTTCGCACTTAAATGCCTGCCTTAGGTACGCTACCTATCATGTTTTGTTTAGTCAAGTATCATATCAATGTCAAGTCTATAGCCGGTATTCTGAGACAATCTCGAGTTTGAACTCAAACTCTACAATCCATAGGTACTATTCTGCAAATTTTGACATCATGGACTTCGAGTGCAAGCTCGAGATTGTCTCCAAATACCACCCTAAAGTAAGATAATTAAATACGAGGTACCCTCTAACGTCAAAATAATAACAATCTAATTTCAGATAGGTAATGACTACAAAAGCATCCAGTGTAAAATGGACTTGCACAAAATTGTTTCAAATAGATTAAAGATATTAGTAGAGAGCTGCTCGCAATAAATGCTTTGTAGGTACACTCGACGTCTCGTAAAACAGAAAAGTTAGCTTTGAAAAGAGCTATTGTTAGCATGAAGCATGATATGGTTTTGTAAGGAGCTGCTTTACAAGTCTAATACTACGCGCAGTAGAACTACAGATCCGAAGCGAGCGCTCACATTCAAAGAGCACTTCGCTCTGGTTTCTGACGGATGTTAATGCTATTAGCCTTTTGGCTCTCACGGTTTATAGAGCTATATAGTGGATGGAGATTATTTATAATTTATTTTTATTATTTATAAATAAAATCAATAATATTGTGTTGTTGCGATCACATCATGAGATGGATGAGTTCTCTAACCACCGTCAGAACAAGGATGGCGGGCCCCGCTTTAACGGCTAGAGCTCCCGCACACAGTCGCGACGTATTTAGGCAGGCCCCATTCATACGGAATTCCGTTTTGTGCTTCCGTTTCGGAATCCCGATTCGAGATACCGAAACATACGTCAACGGGAACGTACGTTTATTTCCGTTCGGAATAACACGGCTCGGTTGAGAGACGTTAGCCATTGAGTCTAGACATTCTGCCAGCGAATAATGACGACGATTTTCTGATTGCGATTCCATTGTTGCTGTATCATTGTTACTGGGTGCATCCCCTTATTCGAGCCCTTCGACATGCACGGGACAAAATGGGGTGATGGATTCAATTACATCACCGTCGCTAGGACTCATCTCTTACTAAATGTAAAATACCCAAACATTGGCAACAGGGAGCGGTTTAAAAGGGACTTATGGTGTTGCTAATTAAGACAACACTTCCTTAAAATAAGGGAGTCCCGTGTCCAGTAGCAGTGTTACTGACGAAAATTGCTTTATCTGCTAAACCAGTATTAAAAGCATCAATGACTTCATGTGCTTTGACAACTAGCTTAACTAAAACTAAAGCTAAACTTACTTAATTAAACAAATTCTCATTTGTTTTAAGTATTTTTTTGGTATATACATAATATAGTATATTTAGATACACGTACATACCATAGACTCTTTCCTTTCCTACCAAGCGTGATGATAATATATACTGAGGCTTTTTTTAAAGCCCTCTTTTGGTGAAGGTCTAATCTGGTTTTAATTGGCTGATGAAATAGCAATTTAAGAATTTGGTTACAATCTATAATATATATAAGCAAGTATTCAATTTAAATTTATTATTCTAGTAAGATTAATGAAGGGTGGCTTACCTGTCCGGGCGATCGGCTTCTGGCTTTTCCATGTAGTAGCGTATAAAGGCACGCTCGGCGGCGTCACGCTCTTCTGGTGGCACCGCGCCACCGCCGTTTAGAGTCCGTACGCGTGGCAGCCGTGCCACGAGCAGCAGTCGTCGCTCGTGCTCTGTCGACTCGAATCGCTCCCATAACGGCCAGCCCTAACACAAAAATAAAATAGTTACGATCGCAATAATTTGGCAAATATACCTCTATCAGATAGTATACGGGGAGGCCAATGCTCAGGGGTGGACTTTTGATTGGATATAATGGTGATGATAATCTGGGCAGCCAGGACATTCGATCCGGATGTTGTTGTTATCAATGCAGTATGTATATTATATTAAACTACCAAAAACATCATCGCAAATGCCAATTGTTTCTCATTTGACTGCAGCGTTAGAAACGATACGAATTTAAAAAGTGATACATTTAAATACTTAAAAACCTTCAAATAAAAAGTATGGGGCGATAACAAGAAAAGGAAAAAAAGCCTAAGAAAAATAATGTCACTTTCTGATGTTGGTGTTAAGATATAGGGTATAGAAGATATAATGCCCTCAAGTATTAATATCCCGACTTTAGTATTTTAGTTCTTTGAAGTTGTGTTTTAATTTTTAATAAAAGTTATCTTTTTTCGTTTTTCCCTTTTAAGTGGATGCAGGTGGCTCAGGAGTCAAGACCGTGCTTTGTGGCATTCCTTGGGGGAGGCGTATGCTCAGCAGTGAACTTATAAAGGGCTGTAATAATGATGAAGGAATATCACAAACTCAATGTCGTCCAAATTCATTAAAATCTTCATCCCTTATTTTGCCACCAGTAGGGGTAGAATTTTTTCTCCAAATTTGGTCGCAGTCGATTCACAAATAACGAAGATATCGCTTTCCATATACAGAAACTATAGTTGAATTGTAAACTTCCTCCTTTTTGTGAAGGTGCTATAATAAAATATAGTTTAATTTAATGAGGGTTCATTGCATAAAACGCCGGTAGGACGACCACTGAGCCACGTGGGTCGCGGAACACCACGAGTGCACGTGTTGGACAAGTGCGGTTTTTCGGCCTTGTGTTCATCATGCTTGCATATCAATTACACTTAGTTTACGTTTAGTCTAACTTTTAACGTGGTAGAGCCATACTGCAGCTATATCATGATCGGCTCGACCGGGGAAGGACCACACTCTCACAGAATACCAGCGTAAAATAGCAGCTTAATGCTGCTTTCTTTCATACGGTAAGTGTAGAGAACCGGAGATTCGTTTTTACTGGAAACGAGGTATTCCACCTAGTCCTAATGGGTGACAACGCATCTGCATTTTAATTCGTAATCGTGGATAGATGTATGTGTCTATGGGCCACAGTAACCACTTAACATCAGGTGGACTGTGTGCTCGTTTGTCACCCTTATCCTATAAAAACAGTCCTTTTTTAATAGTGTAATTTTGAGCCGCAGCAGTGCCAAAGAAACGCATTGTACTGCGATCGTCATCGGCCTGCCAAGCGTAATGACAAACGCTCCCTACATCGGGGAAGGCACGATTTCTGCCGTGGACTTCTACGGCCGATGAAGACAGTAAGTGTAACTACATGTTGTTGTGATATTTAACCGACTTCAAAAAGGAGGAGGATCTCAATTCGAGTGTAAGTTTTTCTTGTATGTATGTATGTTACGCGATATCTTCCCAGATTGTAAACTGATTTTAATGGTTCTTATTAAATTTTGAAGAAAAAATTCCGCCGCCAAGGATGAAAAATAGGGAAAAAGTTTCATACTGTACTATTGTTTAAGGAATTACCTACATAAGATAACTTCGCAGATTGAGAACCGGTTTTAATAGAGTCTTTTTTTTATTAAATAGGTTAGATATACTTCAAGGATGTTCCCATATAAAGGAGAATGCCAGATACTCTATAGAACTTTGCCCCACCCAAAAATGTGGTGTACATGAATGTCGTATGCAACATTTTTTTTCTACTTTATTACTTCATCCAAATTATATAATTTGAAGTCTGTAGAGCTTGCGATTTTTTTTAAATGGACTTTAATAATTACATTTACCTTATTTTTAGAACAGCATTCGTTGCGCTAATGATATGATATATATAAATAAGAATTTAAGAATATAAGGAGCATAATAATATCATGATCAGTAACATTGCAAACAGGGTTCTCTTGTATATGCTCTAAAAGTTCCTTACACAATATCCTACACAAAGTCCTAGTCATGTAAACGAGTTATATTATTTACAAAATTATCTTTCAAGATACATATTATTATGACGTGTCTGAAGAAGGTGTAAATATTTACAGATTAGTAACTAATTTTACGACAACGGCAGGACTATAAATTATAATAAATATATCTGTTGCTAAGATCTCCATGTTGAAAGAAGAGTTAAGATTGTAAATCGAAATGAGAACACAAAATGCCCCTGCATCCTATCGACGCAAAGTGCACCTCGACATCGTGGATGCAATTATCAGAATGTCCGTAGTAATTAGCAGTAAGTCAATAAATCGAGTTCGTATATTAATAAAAGCAGAAGTCGTCAGCAAAAGTGCAACGGTAAAGAAAGCGGGAATCAGCACAAGCAATAATGTGATATAATCATAATCAATATATTTCACAAGCACAGATTAGTCAATGTAAGAAAATATTCGACATTAATTTGACATACGTACTTACGATATTGACGCAATGACGTGTGTGTATCATTTAATAAAATGCACGAAAATCAATTATTGTTATTCTGTAATTGTCTAATGCAATTCATGATTATTGTCGACTTATAGTAATAATTGAAAATAAAAATTGATAAGTAATATTTTTATTTTCAAGCGTGGCAACTATGGCAATATACCCCCCATGAGCAATGACAATAATAAACGGCCCCCAGTCCCCGGCGGCCCCGCTATTCCTGGCTACGGTGGCGACCATGGTAACGGCGGGGCAGGGGGGTACACCCAGTGCGTGTTGCCAGTGATGACATACGGAACTGAGACGTGGTCCTTCACTGCTGGCCGGATGAGGAAGCTCAAGGTCGCTCAGCGAGCTATGGAGAGGGCTATGCTCGGAGTTTCTCTGCGTGATAAACTCAGAAATGAGGATATCCGCAGTAGAACTAGAGTGACCGACATAGCCCAACGGATTAGTAAGCTGAAGTGGCAATGGGCCGGCCATATAGCTCGAAGAACCGACAACCGATGGGGAAGAAAGGTTCTCGAGTGGCAGCCTCGTACCGGCAGGCGAAGTGTAGGGCGTCCCCCCACTAGATGGAGTGACGACCTGGTAAGATATGCAGGAAGTCGATGGATGCAGGTGGCTCAGGACCGTGCTTTGTGGCATTCTTTGGGGGAGGCCTATGTTCAGCAGTGGACTTGTGAAGGGCTGTAATGATGATGATGAATATTTTTATATGACAAAGACTTAAAATATATTTTAATTGAAATCTGTATTGTTTGATACTTTATGCGTACGTATGTACTTATTCGTACAAAGAAACGCAGATGTTATTAGAAAAGACTGGAAATGTAAATATTAATCGTTGAATTCCTTTTTTTTTAAATAATATTTATCGCTAGTTGTACCAAATAACTATTACACAAGATTATTTTTCATATTTTTACCTTTTTTGTACAAGGTGGGGCACGATCTGGTATTCTCCTTTGGAGAAAAAATTCCATTCCCAAGGGTAGCAAATAAATAACTTCTTTTGTAGCAATTTGAAGTCGGTTTTTACTTTTTGTTAAAGGTTATAATTATGTCAAAGACGTCTTGTTTAGAAAAAAAAAGCTTGAAAGAAAGCATTGTCACAATCAATTAATAGTGAAAATGATAATCCACTGCTGAACATATAGATCTTCCCAAAAGTCTGCCACAAAAATGATCTGTCTTAAAAGAGTACAGACTTGTGAGGCATTTCATTTTAGTTAGTAGCATTTGTATGCATGCGTGGACTTTTTTTTAAACTAATTTTCAGGTGTCGATAGACTGCAGTAACTAGTCAAAACTTTTAGATGGACTGGAAACTCATTAAGACAGACAATGTGAATCGGAAATTTGACAAATGGCGGCTGCAATGGAAACGGGTTCAATCATGAAAAAATCTAATCAACAGTGTTTTATAACAACTCCTTTAATTAAATGACCTACATGCTAATCGAAAATTTGTACTTATGTTCTTGTACATGGATCCCAACTTTAACTAAAGTCACGATGTGTGTCTGTATATAATAATATACCTAAGCAAAAAAGCAGACGATTCAATAACAACTACGGGGTATGTTATTTCTTTTGCCTTTTCTCAAGGTAAGCTAGGGACAAGTTTCCATTACGATCACCAATTGAAACTCTTTATGGCTTCAAAGTAATGTTTTGTAAATGAGGAAGATTTTTTGCTTTGTACGTCGTATTTACACATGAGTTCTAGTGGCAGCTGATACTTACAATTTGAAGTGTTAATTTTTAATATATGAGAGGTGATTTTTTTATAAATTGAAATGACGACTGACAAACGAATACGTAGTTTTGATGATAAGTAGCTAATGAAACCCTTGAACAACTGCCACCAACTTCAAATAAAGAAAGCTAAAGAGCGTTGTTACTTCCGAAGTACAAGAGATTTTACGTGGTAGAGTCATGTTGCAGCTATATTACTGATATAGTTGTACCACGAATAGGTCGGCTTGAACGGGGAAGGACCACACTCTCACAGAATACCAAGCTTATAACAGCTAAAATAACAGCTTAAGCTGCTGTGTTCCGTATGGTGAGTATAGAGAACCGGAGATCCGTTATACTGGAAACGAGGCAATCCATCTTGGTGACTTTTGGGTGACAACGCATCTGCATTTTGATTCGTCATCGAGAATAAATGTAGATGTCTATGGGCCACAGCAACCACTTAACGTCATGTGGACTGTGTGCTCGTTTGTCACCCTTATCCTATTAAAAAAGTGGAATGCATCAAAATCTGTAATTATATTGGTTTTCTATATTCTCCGGACTAAAACCAAGTAATGTAGGCATTGCCGCTTTGCGGTTGAAATAGGTAAAAGGGTGGTACGTAGCCAGAGGTTCCATACCCATCTTCACCTCGCTGCGTAGGGGGATTGGTGAGTGTAGAACTTCGCTATGGAAATGCGAGAGTTTTCGGCTAA